CCCAACCTCACCTCGACGCAGCATTCTGACGAAAGTTTACGGTTAAATCGGAGTTAAAATTAACAGAGGGAAGCAGCTGCCACCACGATGCTGCCGCTGCCGCTGTCGCTGTCGCCTGTTACATCGCCTGGCCACTCACCACTCGCCACTCGCCACTCCTCGCAACGTTCGTTTGCCGCTCCTAGACATCCCGTCTATGAGTGCATACGACGATGATGAGCTAGAGTGCATGTGGCGTGCAGTCAAACGGGTGCTGACCGTGCAAGCCGGTTAAGTTAGTTCACTTGGTGTTCTCAGATGAGGAGCCATAGACAGACGATAATAGCGGCTGGCTGTGAGGTCGGTCGTTGCTCCGCCGGGCGCCGGTGATAAATGAGCATGGCCCTGCCGCCTCCTGATAGTGAGTCGATGTCCGCGTCGACGGCCGGCTAATTCTGGCACTCTGACATGCGCCTGTTACTCAGTCACTCACTCGCCGTTACTCGTTATTCCCTCAACTCGTCATTGTCGCTTGGCCACGGCTTCAAGCAGCCTCGACTGCGAGTTACTGGCGTCTAGTTAGTGTTTGAGTCAGTCTGCGACGATCATCCGTCCGTCCGTTGTACTTCTCGCCGGCGCCGCCCAGTGAGTGACTACCTCAAAGCAGAACGCATGTTTTAGTATCTTGTTGCGCGCCGCTTCGCCATTATGCCAGCCGGCGCTGCAGCGGCAGCGCGGTGCATTCCGTGTCGACTCTTCCGTCCGTCTTTGCTGCTGTTCTATGCTTTCACACTCTTCTCATCGCTCTGCGTTCTTCTCGCCTATTCGCCCAGTCACTCATTTCGCGTTGCCTCGGCTCTTCGCCACGTTCACTCGCCTAGCATTGACTTCGAAACGTGTTTTCGTAGGCGCTATTTATAAACCGCATAACCGGCCTCATATAGCTTCACCGATCGCTAGCTACCAATCGGCGTGCTCCTGTTTCAACTGCACATCGCCTCGCTTTCTCCTCATCTCGCCTTCAGCGTGGCAGTGATGCGCAGTCCGACCGACCGCGAGGACAGACGCTCGTGCCTGTGTGTCAGGCCGTTCGACCGGCTTCGCCCTGATAAGCTTTAGCAGCCGAAGCCAGCCACGCTGTCCGTTGTCCACAAACACGGTGCGTCAACGAACGCTTGGCAATTCAGTGCAGGACAAGTAGTATGTGAGCTGGCTCGGCCCAGTTCGGTGAATCCTTTGATCATTACCCGTCGGATGGTCGTCGGATATGCCCGATCCTACTCCGTGATTACTCGCTGTGCGCCTACAGCCCTCGAGAGCTGGTTGCGGCCGGTTCGTCGCATTCGTTCTATATTGTTTCACTTTTTAAGATTTTCAGACTCTGTCGCGTACGGCAATGCCGTGACAGCAGCCGGCCGGTTCGATCATACGACGACGACTATGGAACAGAACAAACGACATCCCAAGGCCGAGGAAGCAGCCGTACCCGCATCTCGATTCTGGTGCTCGTCGCCTCTTCTTCCTCCTCTCTGGCAACGTACTTCTTTACATCACCGCACGGGGTTAAAGATGTGGAATGTAAAGAAGTATGTAGCCTAGAGGGAACGTTCTGCGAGCGGCAAAGCATCGCGTCAAACGTTGGTTGGAGACGGACGATCGAAACTGCCATTTCATGGCGCCACTCGACTATCGTAAAGCCTCAGGCGTCACTCAGCACAATCCTCTCTTCGGCTGGGCTACCTATCGGAATCCACCTTCGCTAAATTTCATCGCCGGTCACCTCGTGTTCAAGTTGAGGTAACGCCAGAGTCTGAATCGGTGTCTGTCGCTCGTCGCTCGACGCTGCGTCTGCGTTGGTTTGAGGTTCGTGAGGTGCGTGGTCATCGTGACTGACACCGCGATTCCGTTGCTTCTGTTTCTACTGCTTCTACTCGCTTTGCGTTTCGTAACGATCGACGAGGCGTTCTTGCAGTAATTGCTAACAGTAAAATTCATGGTCGTTTTCGTAATATGGTCTGTCGGTTCGCTGCCGGTTGTGCGTACTGAAATTCTGTAAAAAAATGTTTAGAATCGTGAAAGACCCTGAAATGAACAACGTTTGCTAAAAAAGCAACGAGAAAC